TTATATGTCTTTAAGCTTTTTGCAAACTAATTCTCAAAACATGAATTCGAATTTTTCACTTGAATCGAGTTCCTCTAGGTTTAACTCTTTCTATATCTTAAACTTTACCACTTGTTAAGATAATAATAGCTCTAATATCACTTATTAAGCTAAAAAGCTATAGATTAATTAATCATCCAAGCAGCGAAAATATAATCAAATAATTAATTAACACAAAAGACAGTGATGTAAAGTGATTCGGTCCAACCAACTTACATTCACATATGAGAAAAAAATCAACAAATTGTAAAGAGTTACATGAAAACAAATCAATCAGCACTCAACAATTAATACGTATAGATCCTCTCAATTTCTTTTAGCCTATAAAGTATTCTTAACTTAAGCAAACATATATCAATGTGTACTCATGCGTCATACCTATGTAGACCTTCTAAATCTCTTCTATTCTACTCACAAATATTCAAATATATATATCTATAAGATATAAATTTTTATTAATTTTATGGGTATTTATCTTACAAAATCTTACCATTCTCTTATATTTTTTTATACATAATCTTATAGAGATTTTATCTATTTAAAAATATATAAACTTTTACTCTTAAAATTCTTTTTTTTGCAAGTTTTTTTTATTAAATAATATCTAATCAATTTCAAATAAATCACTTATAAGATTTAAGTTACTGTCCGATATAAGCCTCCAACTTGTAAACTCGTCGCTTTGAACCTCTTTCCATCATTATAGTTGTTGGCTTTGATGTCAGCACCTGATGCATGAATGAGTGCTAACACAGGAACTCCAACTGCCTCGTATCGCCATAGGGGATCCCGTAGCTGCACGACCACTGCAAGCGTCACTGTTTCTGGGTCTCCTAGCTGAGCTTGAAATAAAGCTGTAATTTTTAATCAAATTCTCAAGAGGAACAGCAAAAGCCATTGGTTGATCCTGATCCTTTCCATTATCTGTTACCATTTTTCCGATCAGTGCAGAGATATCAAAAGGAGCTTCGTTCTCTGTCACTTCTGCTTGTACTTTTAAGGCTTCAGCTGCCATTCCCTCAATATTCTGAGTTGACAATGCTAAAATTTCCTCTGCTATCAATAGGTTTTCATTTGCATTCCATATTCCAGTTGCAATCCTTTCTAAAAAATATATACTAAATGGTCCCCCCTGGCTTTGTATAAGAAATTTACTGTCAATACAAAGTTTTAAGTAACTTTTAAAGCCATGACTACAAGTACCAACAGCTTTCCAATTCCCAAACAATTCTGCTGGCCTTGAAAATTCATTCATTTTATTGGGGGAGAGAAAATGGAAGGCTAGGGAATGTGTTTTTTTTAACAAGAGTCTGAGGGGAATGCTTGTAATCAGTGTTATCGCGAACAGTTAAAAACATATTTCTGAGCAATAAACAGATAATATGCAGACAGAAAAACAAACAAATTATAACAAATATGCACTAACAAACAGAAATTGATGAAAATGTTGACTGATAAAGGCTTACCGTAAGAAGTGAGTGTCTGCGGTGCCCGGTGTGGGACGGGCTGTCTCACGATTCGCTTAACGATGGAAGAGGCGGTTGTTTCGGCTACCGATATTTCCCCTGTTTTAGCCGTTTCATATTTCTCTTTAAGTTTGTTATTTTGTTATTCTTCTTTTTTTTTTTAAATTAACACTTAATTGAAAAAAAGTCTTCCGTCTTCACTTTTTTTTCCCTAATAATTAATAAAGTTAAAAAAAACATATAAAAGTAGATTTCTAATCTCACCATTTCTATTTCCTTATCTTTTAGATAAAAAATTCTTCTCATTAATACAATAGATAAAAAATCTACTGATTAATACAATCTCATATATCTTGAATGGGAATATATTACTTGTAATTTTTTTATTATAATGTTATAATTATTTAATTATAATAAAAAATTATATAAGATTCTACTACTTATAAATATTAAATTCATATAAAATTTTAATAAAATTTAAGCAATTTTAAATCATAATTAATTATTTATACTGTAATTATTGTAAATAAAATATTTTGAATATCTCTCCCAATGGCCAAGACATCCAAACATGAAATAAATAAAAAATAATCCATTTATTCTCACTATATAATTTAAATTTTATTTTTTTGGTTTTAGTGAAGATATTTCCTTATTTGCTAATTATAAAATATATAAAACAAAAAAAAAACACAATATTTATTTTGAATCCTTGCACAATAATTGAAAATATACTATAATATTAAAAAAATCAAATCTTAACAATAAATATGTGATATTATATATTTGCAATTTACATTGTCAATATTAATAAGGGAAAATTTAACTGTCTAATTATGTAAATATCACATTATTAAATCATACCCAAACAACGGCGTTATGAATGATAGAATAAGGAAGGGTATGCGAGTGATATTTCTCAAATCGCAAGGACGATTGTGGTATTTTGCAAGAAAACACATATAAAAGGAAAACCTAATCTCTTTTTCTCTTATATTAAGTACTTCACTTTGGTTTTGTTCGTTGCTTTTGTTTCATCAACCACACAACCACAGACCCTGCGTTAAGCTTAAACCCTAATCAGAGACACACAGAGAGAGCAGAGGGAATGGCAAGCTACGACTTAACCCCACGAATTGCTCCGAACCTGGATAGGAATTTAAAATTTTTTCTTTGTTTTAAGAGTCTTTGTAGTAGGTTATTGTAATAGACATAAACTATGCCTAATCATCTATGATTTTTTTATGTTCTAATATTGAGGCTTTTGATAAATTTAAATAAGTTTCTCTTGTAGCAACATTTCTCTTGTTTAGAGATTCAATGATGAAATTATTAGAACTTTGGGATGTTTGCCTTGGTTCTGTTTGTTTTATCTCATCTTTTATTAAGTGAGGTAAATGTTGTTCCATAATATTTGGATTAGACATTTCTAAAAATCTTAGTAAATCTCAGTTTCTTTGTTAGAAACTTTACCTATTTTTTTTACCATGATCTACTATTTATAAATTTACTATTTGTATCTTATTATCTTTCTTCCATTTGTTTGTATGGAAATTCTTGGCTAATCAGGATGAGTAGCTTCATACACTAGGGATTTGGCATATTGTATCATTATGATTCCTGTTTGAAATTGATATTGATGAAAATTTTGAGAATTTTTTGATAACATTCTCTAGTTGTTATGGTATTTCGATGGAATCTAATTGTTGTTCAATTAGAGGACCAAAAATTAATTTTTGTATTTTCGAAATCTGGTAGGGTATAAAAAATCTTTCTCCTTGAAATAGTCTTAAAAGACTTGTGATTTTGAAATGAATATAGAAAAAAATATTGATCATTTTTTACAAAATTAACAAATTTTGATTTGATAAAAGTAGGAAAATATTTGAGATGATTAAAGGAAAAATTTTATATTATGATTTAACCAACAATTCCTAAATTGATACTCGTTGTATCGAAAGGATCATGATCAATTTTGAATTTGATTTTAGGAAAATCTTCTCCTATTTCTGGTGTTTCCAAATACGAAGAAAAAAAGTATTCTTTGAATTTTTCTTTTAACAGTTTTTTTATTAGAAGAGTAATTGAATTGTTTATGCGCAGAAATATTTCTTTTAGTATGAATATTGTTGCTTTTTCAAATAATAAAATCTTTTTTAGTTTTACTATTTTGGGAGAACTTTTGCATGAGAAATATTCACATAGATCAAGGAAATTGTTTATTTCCTCAAGATTATATTGGTATTCTTCTATTATAAAGAAATCAATATCTTGTTGTTTTAGCAAGTTTGATGAACATAGATTTTTGAAAACCAATTCATCAAGATGAGCTTGATTTTTAGTTTGGTTAATTAAAAATTTAACTAATTTGGTCATTTCTTTTCTAAATTGAGATTTATTTTCAGTAAGATAAGATTTTCAAATATTACTGAAAAGATTATAAGTCTCTGTATTAAGATCAGAATTATAAAAATCTTTTATTTCTATACCAAGTATTTTTGGAGGTGTCAACAGATTTTTTGTTTGTTTGACGATTTGAGAATATCAAATAGGAGTTCATTGGTTAGGATGACGAGCAAATTGAGATAAAATTTGTTGCGGGCCTTCTACTCCTATTGGACTTTTTATTTTCTTATTGTACTTAATACGTGTAAGGCCTTTGTCTGAAGGGAGGCCCTTTATTTTTCTTTAGCCCATATGTTTTTATTTATCGTTGCAAAAATAGTGAGAGAATATGCTGATTATCTATAATTATCGCATTATAATTAAACAATCACAATTCAAAAATTTAGAATTGTACGAGGCTAATTAAAATTTATATGGAGTTTATATTTATAAACTGTAAATTTTATATATTTTTGTTATAATAATTGAATAATTATAAAATTATAATAAAAATAATTATAATTGAAATACATCTTGAAATCAGAAAATCTCATAATGCACAGGAAAAGATGGAAAGAGTATAATACTCGATTATATAATATAATTTTAATAATTTTAATCTTTCTTTCTCTCTTTCTTATCTTTATTTTCTTCTGGTGATCAAAATAGCTGCAATTTAATATTTATTGAAATTTGTGTTTGATTCTGGAGTTAATATCAGAATATTCAAACCAAGTTTTTTATTAGCAACATAAATGTATGTATCATTTTTGTTAATGAATGCGTAATTATCATTGGAAGGTTAATACATTATTAAATAGGTATCTTTGATAAGCGTATTGTCAGAATTACAGGAATCAAATTCAATAATTTGTTCATTGCTAAAGAATTAAGCATTATTGCTACAATCAAAATATAGTGATTGGAAAAAGAAGGGAGAGAAGAACTAATTTTATTTAGATCATGGTAGAAACGTCTGTAACAAATATATTTAGCTATTCGACATCATTAATTTGGTTCATCAGTTTATTTTAAGTGCAGACAGCACTCCTTTATATAAAGAGTGTAAATACCGTTATATGGGGTTCATCAATCATCGGTTTTCAAGTCTTAATTACCCCTCCTTGGTGGATCGTACAGTAAGACAGGTCTTCCGTTCAGAGGTTGGGTTGGCCTTGCGTTGTTTCTGTTTTGCTGAAAAAGAAAAAAAAGGAAGAAATCAACAAAGGAAATTCAAGTTTCATAGAGGGATGAATGCAAGTGTTGAGATTCAAATTTTCACCATGAAATTTTTTTTTTAAAAGAAAATAGATAAACCATTTGAATTAAATCTTATACCTAATTTCATATAAAAAATTTTCAAACTCATAATCAGTAAATGAGAAATTTGACTCAATTTAGAAACACTTACAGGAGGAAGGACACGCTTTAATGCATCAACTTGAGAATGGGAGACCGTCTTGACCTTTATAATTAAGATGATAACAATATATAAGTTAAGAAACATTAATCCAACGATGCAATATAGGAAAAGGAGTTGAGAGGCGGTCAACAGGGATGTTGAGCAAAAGACCTGTTGGAAGACTGTCCAAACCACACCCTCTGAGCAGGGAGGAGTTGTAAGTGAACCCTTGTATCGATAATAATTTCTGCCAGGAAAGTCAATGCTTTCTGGATTAACAGACCCCAGTGGTCTGTCTTCGGTTGTAAGATTCTTTAAGGAGCCAAACAGCTGTTATGAAACCATGCAAGAACATGAACAAAACCAACTTAATTAAAGCAATAACTAAAAACCAAACCCAAGATATTAACTATATAACATGAAAATTATATCAATCAACATAAGAAAAAGAAGCTTTCGATTCATTTGGTTAAATCTCATCTTATTATTCATCTCAAGATTTGGATTCGAGAATTTTTATATGAAACCTTAAATTCCATCACTAGGTGTCCCTTGGGCACTTTGACTGTAAAATTTAACTGTCACTGTACTTATCATGAAAACGCTTTCATTTCAAGTGAAGGAGATTCTATATCAAAAAAAAAAAAAAAAAAACCAAAATAAGAGGTTGACAGACCCTATCAATGAAGGGATCAGGCGAGCCATATCGGTAAAGAATTGCAACAACCGCAATCTGATTTTGAGCACTCCTATGAACTATGTGAATCTCCAACTCATACCTGTAAACAAAAGTATATATAAACATTTCTTTTAGAGGAAAAGAGAAACAGAAACGGTGCTCTCCTTTCAAGTACAAATGAATTGAATTTTTTGAATGAGAAAGGCAATTAGAAAATAACAAGAAAAATTATACTTAATTCCATTGAGGGTGTGCTCAGCAGGTGAGTGCCAGTGACAGTTATCCACTGTATAAACAGTCCTATTTATAGTAATGCTTCCAGCATTCCCTAACCATACCACCTGAGGAATATCAAAATTTTTTCAACAATTTGTACAAGTAAGGATGGGTTGCCAAAAAAAGAAGACAGGAAAAGTGGAAAACAGACAATGTATATATATATATATATATATATATATATTTTTACCGCAACATCTTCGGTCCTATTCCTCAAAACAGCAGAAGCTGATGCGTAGTTCCTGTGCAAATCTCCCAATTGAGAACGAACCTGAAAATTTTCAATATTTATAGGAGATTGCTGTCGTCCAATGCTGCAATTTTTCCATTCTGGTTTGAGTAAGCCCCAACGCGATGGCCCCCTGCCTGATGCTTCGTCGTAATTAAATTCATGATCTGTCCCAAACCCCCCCCCCCCCCCCAACCCCAAAGTTTAGTAAGAGAAATTTATTTCTGATTTCATGAATTCTAAATATATAAAATTCTAATACATGTTGTTACAATTAGCTGCTATATTCTATAGCTTATCTTGAACATGAAACACAAAATAAAAAGAAAATATATCAGCTTCACAAAAATGTCCGAAGTCCAAAATTTTAAAAATCTTTGAATAATCAAAGGTCAATTTATAGTTATTGTCAACAAAAGTGTAAGAGAAATGAAAATGTGAATTAATACTGCTTTTTCTTTTCTTTTATCCCAATGAACAATAGTATCAGCAACTTTCATATATTAGCTAAAAATGAAATTTATAACTTCATTGTATTTTACTTTAATCTTGTCACTTTTTGTTCGATTACTCAATTTTCTTTTCTTTCAAATTTCTAACAAGCAAAGTAATCAAGTAGGATAATATATAACAGACAAGCAGTGTGATTTCATATAATGGGTTTCTAGCAAGAGAAAAAAAAAAGTATGAGAGAAAAAAGAAAAAAGAAAGACAAGATGTGAAGGAAAATCAAAGCAAGAAAAAAGCATATATATATATATATAAGTTAGTAAAAAATATATAATAGAAATGATGATGTTGCAGTAATGTTATTTTAAAAGATAAATAAATAGATAAAAATAAAAGAAAGAAAGCATAAGAGAGAAATAATATATACCCTCAGATTGAGAGCAAGCCGAGAGAATGAGAGAAGAAAAGAGGAAAAAGGTAAAGGCGAAGGGTGTCTTAAGATTGATATTGCTGCACTTCATGGTTTGGTTTCCTTCCTCTGTCTCAACTCTCAATCCCTTAAATTCCTGACATGGTTTAGCTTCATTGTCGGGTATTTAAAAGAAGATGGAAGTGGCGGGTGCAAGAGTACGTACGACAAGTCTATGTATGGCGTCCTTAATTGCTCGCATCATCTAGACTAGGCTTACACTATTCCAAAATGGACAACAATTTATGTTTTAGAACTTTTTTTTTTTTAATTTACTTTGGAGTATTTGATTTTGATGCATTATATATTAATATTGCGTGTCATCTTCTTGATAGTTTAATTGATGACATTCATGAGTTAAACAAAAGCTGAGGACAATGTTGGTTTTATCATGTATTGGGAGGAGAAATTTTGAGAGGACATAGATCTGCTTGTGAGATGAAGTTGGATTTTGAGGCTTTTCAGCATCTCATCTAGTTTGTGAGTGCCTCTCGGCGGATGCTTGGAGAGTGAAGTTTTTCAAGGCAATGAAAATGATTTAGTTTTTTTTATTTTTCCTTTTGTTAAAAAAAAAAAAAACAGGATTAATTTCACGTTACAACTTTAAAATTTTCAACTTGAAAAATGAAGATATCAAAATTTTTACTTAATTAATTTGCTTTTTGACTTTAAAATTAAAAATTAATATTTTTATTATACAGTCTAAAATCAATTAATTAACCATTCTTTTATATATTTTAAAACCGTTAGAAATAAAAAATGTTATAATGCAAATTAAAGATGATATATTAATATATTGGGTGATCTTCAGCTTCTTCGTCTAATGACTAAAAGCTCTTGAGAGGATATAAAAGTTTAATTTCGAATTAAAATTTTTTTTTATGTTTTCATGGATTATGTCCATTTTATATATAAAAAATGATACATTGGGAATTAAAATATATATTTCATTTTTGTAGATTAGAGAAAATTTGAGAGAAAGGGACGCAAATTTCTAATTTAATCATTTTGAACTGAGATAATTACAACGATTTATCAGGTTTAATTAATTGTCTTTAACATTATTTTGTTAATTATTTAAAATTTTTTTCTTTCCTTTTTATTTATGCTTATGTCCTCTTTTCCTCTAAATTATTTAAATTAGTTATGCCTAGAGGGCCTCTGCAAACATCTTCTTCCATAATAATAATGGTAAGTCGCTTATTATAATTATCATAGTAATTACGGTTATAGGATTCTAAAAACCATTATGGTTACAGAGATTCATTTATATTACTCTAAATCAATTATTAAAAACCATTAATCTTTATTAAATCAAGCGAATAAAGAGATAGTTGATTTTTTTTATTTGACAATTACCCATTTTTATAGGAGTAATATAACTTTTTCCTTCCCATAGTTATTTCATGCAGCCTTTTAACCATGTCAACGGTTGATCCAGATGCAAAATTTTATGACAAAGATATAAAGTCAATAGTTGAGTTGGTCTAACTCGAATTAAAGTAAAAATTTGGCTGTGAATTGAAGTCGAATTAAATTATCAATTTGGCCATGAAAACTTAATTACTTGTCAAAACTTTATGTCAACTAGGATTAATTAATTGAATAATTTCAATTGAAAAATACGACCACCATTTGTGTTTTTCTAGTTTCCATTATTTTTTTTTTTAAATCCATTTTCATTTTTAGCATTTTTAGAATATTGTTAGCCTTCTATTTCCCCTTCCTATTTTTCTATATTAACCCTATTTTCCATAAAAATGTGATTTTTGGTCTATCAATTGCACATATATACAGTGGATGGTAGAAATCTTTGGTGAATTAATTTTGGAGAAATGTAATATAATTTATCTAATTATATTTGATTTTATATTTAATGCACTATGAGTGTATTGAATTTATATATTGTTAGTGAACCACATCTTGACACTCATTAATAAATTAATTAAAATATTTTGTAATCCTTAACAATAAATACTCCAAAATTTTAATGAAGAAAACAGCTTAAGATTTAATTACTTTTTTTCACAATTAAATACTTAAAATTTATGAGTATTTATTGTTAAGGACTTAAAAATATTTTAATTAATTTATTAATATGTGTCAAGATGTAATTTAATCAATACATTAATAATATATCAAATATAATCCCATTATATTTTGAACGAATAATTTAAAATAATCTACTAACAAATACGTGCAGAACGTAAAAATAAAACTTGATATCTAATTGTTGGCTTATTAGCAAAAATAAAAATGTAGTAACTCTTGATTTTAATTATATAGTTGGCTTTAATTTTAGAAAAATATAATTTCTCTCTTTTCTTGTTTTTAGCTAAATGAATTTTTGCTAATTACCTAGCGGCTGGGCACTCTGCTCTTAAAACCTCCCGTATATTTCATTTGTTTGGGCACCAAATTAAAAAAAAAAAAAAAATCATTGGGAAAACAAGGACAAAATCATCAACAAACTCTGTGAGAAGGAAAGGAAGGATACATAAAGAAAAAATTAAAAAATAAAATAGAAATTGAAAACAAAGGATAATAGGAGGGTAAATAAACTTTTAGATTGCCACCAAAAATTCAAGGATTGAATAATCAACTATTATATAATAATTAAGTTATTATTATTTAATAATCAATTAATAAATTAAAATATAAATAAATAATTAAATTTTCATATAATGAGATTTGAATATAAAATTTTAAGATTTTAAAGCCTTCTCATTACCACTAAGTTAAGACTTCATGGATAATTTTTTAAGAACTTAAATATAATAGGTGATACCAAATCGGTTTATGAAGAAGATGAATTGATTTTTATTTTTTTTATTTTTTGATTTTTTGATTGATAGTTACATTAATCATATAGGTGGCAATTTGTGCACTTTTGAAAATTTTTGATAGGTCTATAGGTTTGAGTTATTTCGGGTCTAGTTGACATTCATTGAGGGTTTAAATCATTCAAATCATGTAAATTTAATTGGATAGTTTTGGTTAGAATTTTTAAGAGTTTAAATTATATCAAGTTTGAATTATTTTAAATACTTATTGTTTCAAGTTCATTGCATTCGACTTTGATCAATCCCTTTTTTGTCATTAAAGGTTTTAATTTTATGCATTTCAAATTAGATCAATCTCATGTTCAAATTAATGCAGGTTTGAGTTAGGATCACTTTAAGTTTGGACTTTTTCATTTTGAATCCCCTTTGATTTTAGATTGTTTTAAGTTTGGTTTTTTAAATTGGGTCTTTAACTTTTCTTCTTTTTATTTTTCAATCAATCCAAATAAAATTGAATTTGATCTCAGATTCGATCCGGATGAATGTTTGAATTCAATCAGATTTTACCACTTCTGGTTAATCAAATTGTTTCATAAATTCATCATCATTATGCATGTTATATTTTGACTTTAAATTTATATATGATATGAAGAAAAAATTTTTTTTAAGAAATTTGAAGAGTCAACGTTAGTGTTGGAGAGACAAGTTTACAGTTTTAATTCCTCTCTTATATTGACCTTATTCAACTATACCAAAAATAATAAATATGGTATTCAATTTTAGTCAATAAATCTTGTTAGTCATGGTTTTCTACTTTAACAATAAAAATCTATCTAAATGTTAAATCAATTTAATTAGAGTACAAGATAAATAGATTAATATTAATAAAAAATTGTAATAATAATTTTTAAAATAATAAATTATTTCATAAAAATCATTCTCAACTAATTATATAAGATATCCATCAAAATATTATATGAAATTCGTATTTATAAATAATGAACAAGAATCCTTATATATATATATATTATTTTGATTGAATTATTATAAAAGATATTAAATTATAATAAAAATAAATGTAGGTGATTTATTTCTCTTCCCACCACACCTGTTAGAAGATTAACTAACCAAATTAGGTCATTAAAATTTGTAGTTAATGTCAGGCATATATTCGTCAACCTGCAAGTTAATAGTAGCATTAACTTTGCCACATTAATGGTAAATATGAATGTTAATTGTCAAATTTCAATGATATGTCATAATTACCTGATTAGTTTGACTATAGCTAGAGAGGTCAATTTTATCCATATTTCATGGGAAACCTAACTCTTTCGGAACGA